GGCTAATTTTTGTATTTTTCAGTAGAGACACGGTTTTGCTATGTTGGCCAGGCTGGTCTTGAACTCCTGACCTCAGGTGATCCACCCACCTAGGCTTCCCAAAGTGTTGGGATTACAGGCATGTGCCACTTCACTTGGCCTAATTCTTTTCCTCTTTGAAAGCATTTACTCATTAAAGGTTTTTTTGAGCACCTACTGTGTGCCAATCATGTTCGACAGGAAAAGTGGATACAACAGTAAGTGTGTTAGATTACTGTTCCCAATTATTCACTGCTCCCAACCTCTGTAAGAGGACTGTACATCCCCTTACTCCACCCCATGCCCCATATTATCAAACTTGGCCATGTCACTCGTTTTTGCCAATGAAATGTGAACAGAAACAATATATGTCCCTTCTGAGTAAAAGTTTTAAGAGACATTGGGTGTTCCTCTTTTGCTCTCTAGTACTTTTCCCTCTGCCATGACAATGCATGGTCCAAAGAGAACCTGCTGCTTCAGCACAGACCCTGAAATGAATGAGATGCATAGAACAGAATCACAGCTGACACATAGCTGCCAGAGTCAAGATACAAGGTGGGTGAGGAAAAAAGCCCATTTGCTGTTACATATCATTGAGATTTATTACATAGTATAACCTAGAGAAAACTGAGTAATACAGCAAAACAACACAGACTGAGTCACTATGTCTGGACAAGGTTACAATCTAGTTGAATGCCTATTATATATCATCTGTATCATTCAAATTAGAATCTTCTATGAATCGTCTTGTTTTCTGATAGTTTTCTACATGCAAATCTGGCCCCAACCATAAGATTAAGGCAAGCATTATATCTTTTACTTTACTGAATGTTTGTTGTGCTTAGGGAAGTCGGTAAATACATATGGGGTGATTTCTAGGACTCTGCTGTTTTCCTACTCTATTTTTATTCTTGGTATGATCAAGGAATACAACAAGATAAATCAGAGTTGAAAAGAAAAAAATTAAAGACTGGTGTTTTGGTAGCAACCCACCAAATTTGGTGACTTCCTTAAATGAATATTTTGGGCATTAGAAAAATATATAGTTATTACACTAAAAACTAGTATGAACTATTTGTAAATCATTAGAATGTTTACAGAAGTTGCCTATTAGTAAGTAACTTTGTAACTGGGCAGTGATATTTCCAGGTAACATGGGAATATCAATACAAAAAAATCAAGTAATATGACTTAAAAAGGAGAATATTATTCATGTTCTCTCATATGCTATTGAATTTTAAAGTTTTAAAAACTCATTTGTAGAACAAATTTCATGGTACTAAAATGTTTCACTTTCAGGCATATGTAAACAGAAAGCCTAAACTTCAGAGAAATGATATTAAGTGACTAAACATGCTAGATGCTTACTTTTAAGTCTCAACAAAGTACCTTTCAAAGTTTTAGCTTTAAAATCACTTCCTTATTAATTAATTTTAGTAATTACCGGTCTCTTCTTGTATAAAAGATACGACAGATGCAAAATGTTGACACCCAAGAACACAGAGTTCCAGATCATTATATCCAAGGCACATCGGTAGAGAGTGGCCCAGACAATATAAAGGGTACATCCTGTTGAAGAGCAAAGTTAACCTGTTAGATAATCTAGAAGAGCCTAAGCAGGGAGCTTAATAAATTTGATATCCTCTATATATACAGTAGTCCTCCCTTTTCTGAAGGTGATACTTTCTAAGACCCCCAGTGGATGCCTGAAACCATGGATAGTACACAACTCTATAAACACTATGTTTTATCGATCTGATACCCAAGACAGCTAATAAGCGACTACTGGGTGGGTAACACCGATAGTGTGGATAAGTTGGACTAAGGGATGATTCACATCCCAGGCAGGATAGGGCAGAACACTGCAAGATTTCATTGCACTATTCAGAATGTCTTGCATTTAAAACTTACGAATTGTTTATTCTTGGTATTTTCCATTTAATATTATTGGACTGTTGTTGACCACAGAAAGTGAATCCCCCACTGGATGTGGGGGCTACTGTAGATCAAACACATTTAAGAACTATCTAAGCCAAATATCACATTGTTTCATTTTGTCTTTTGTCCAGTGACCAAAAAAACCCAAATATATGCTTTGTTGAATAAAAGCTGTATTAAAAATATACAGGAAATACAAAGTATAAAAATATTTTTAAAGAGGAAAAATCCATAATTCTACTACTTAAAAAAGGCCATTAAATATCAAATAATTTAATTCTGCCTTACAAAATTAGTTTTCATACAGTTTTACCTGACGGCAAACCTAGCACAGATACAATTTTAAAATCTCCTTTTTAACTTATTCTAGTGATTTTCCCATTTCATTAAACTCTTTGCAAGCATAGTTTTAAATGACTGCAACTGATTAAACCATAATTTATTTAACCCTCCCCCTACTGCTGGAAAGACAAGATTTTGAGGGTATAATTTTTGACAAGTAGAAAAAAAAAATTTATACATACAAATTTTTCTGTATTTGTGATTGTTTACTTAGTCTAGATTACCTGAAGGTGAATCTAGGGAATGAACTTTATAGTTTTTTACAATATTGAAGAATTGTTTTCCAAAACGTTTTTACAAATTTGCAATCCTACTAGCTAGAAATACCAATATCAAGTTGTCAGTATAGTCATGCGTCGTTCAATGACAGGGATATATTCTGAGAAATATTTCATTAGATGATTTTGTTGCTGTGTGAACATCATAGAGTATACGTACATAAACCCAGATGGCACAGTCTACTACACTATAGGGTGTAAACCAATATAGTACAGCTTGTTATTGTACTGAATATTGAATACTGCAGGCAACTATAGCACAATGGTAAGTATTTATATATCTAAATATATCTAAACATGGAAAAGGTGAACATGTGGTACTATACTATGGGACCATTTTCGTTATATGATGCATGACTGTATTATAAAATGTGAAAACTCCTAACTTGATAGTGAGGAATTATGTATACTTTATTTTGCATTTCCATGATTACTGGTGAGCCTGCATATTTTACCAAAATGTTTTAGCCATCTGAATTTTCCCCTGGTGATTATCCATTTAACTCTGAGAATCTTCCTGTGTTTTCTTATTGATTCTCTTACCTTATATAAAATATTCCCAGTTTCTTTTGATCAATTTTATGGTAGGAGAGTTAATACAGTGTATACATTTAAAATAAAACTATCATTAAGATATAAATCATTGACACACACATACTCACAAAAGCTAACCTCCCACTTTAAAAGTTACTCACTTGCAATTTTTTATTTCATAAGAATGATTTGAGGCACCTAAATAAAGCCCCAAATGTAAAAATTTAAATATTCTTTAAGTAATATTTCATAGCAAATAGTGAAGCAATTTAAAATATTTTAATAAGGTATACAATGGGAGGATAGAGAAAAACTGGAGGACCTGAATTATAGTCCTGGTTTGGCTGTTTTTTCTCCATCTTAATTTTGGATGGGTGATTTTATTTGTCTAGGTTTCACTTTTTTTAATTTTTTTTTTTTTGAGACAGGGTCTTGCTCTGTCACCCAGGCTGGAGTGCAGTAGCCTCGACATCCCACGCTCAAGCCATCCTCCCACTGCACCCTCCCAAACAGCTGGGACCACAGATGTGTGCCACCATGCCCAGCTACTTTTAAAATTTTTTGTAGACATAGGGTCTCACTACATTGCCCAGGCTGGTTTTGAACTCCTGGCTTCAAGAGATACTCTCACTTCAGCCTAAAAAAGTGCTGGGACTACAGGCGTTAGCCACTATGCCTAGCCTAGGTTTCTCTTTCTGCATTTACAGAATAAAGTGTTAGATTTGATAATATCTTTGGTTCACTCCACCTCTGAAACTCTGTCTTAAAATTCATAATTGATGTTTGCTTTTTTATAGGGTATAGTATTTTTTTTTCCATTCAACTCCCTGTTCCTACTGCTGCGGTCCTCACCTTACTCACAGGTCACACAGCCACTGAGCTTCTACTAACCTTCCAGCCTCTTTTTCCTTGTCATTTATCACTTTTTCTTTTTTTTTTTGAGGCGGAGTCTAGTTCTGTCACCAGGTTGGACAGAGTAATCTGTCACCAGTTTACTTATACATATTAAAATCCATAGCAAGTACATTTTAAAAATATACATTTTACACATACTTATATAAAACCATTTCCTATGTTACCTGTCTTCGGTCTCTGGTCCTTAAAAAAAACTCTTATTAATTGCACAAATTTGGTCCTTGCCAAACACTATGCAGTTTTACAGAATATATGAATTATTCTGCTTCAGGGAAATTCCAAGTGGCACAATCTTGGCCCACTGCAACCTCTGTCTCCTGGGTTCAAGTGATTCTTTTGCCTCAGCCTCTCGAGTAGCTGGGATTACAAGCTCCTGCCACCATGTCCAGCTAGTTTTTGTACTTTTAGTAGAGACAATGTTTCACCATGTTGGCCAAGCTGGTCTCGAACTCCTAACCTCAGGTAATCTGCCCACCTTGGCCTCCCACAGTGCTGGGATTACAGGCATGAGACTGTGTCCAGCCGATTTATCATATATTTTTAAGCACAATGCACTACTCTATGTTCATTCCAATATGCTCAATTTCCTTCTCTTCTGTGCTCTTTGCTCTGATACTGCACACATTCACTCAGAGAAATCCTGCTCATCTTCCAAAATCCAGGTCCCATGTCACCTCCTCAGTGGGATCCTGCTCTGCCCTCCTACTAAGCCTATCACCTTCTCCATGTCCCCCTGGATAATGGGTGCACACCTGCATCCCAGCATCTGATACACCATACTGGGATTGCCCATCTGTTTCTCTACCAGCCCCCACAAGAGTGTCTTTCTCAAGGATGAAGATGGCCTTCCTCAATCTTTGTCTGACACATTACAGGTGCTAAAAAAAATGCATCTGAATAAATGGGCCATTAGGGAAGTAATCACATAGAGAGTAATTTGTCAAGAATCACTGGCTAAAGTAACAGATTCAATTGTTTTAATATTCTGCTGTGAATCAATTTAACTTGCTTCATTAGGGTTACTGGGACCAAAAAAAAATTTGTTTTATTTGAACTACTGTATGTGGGTAATTGTTTTTGTTCCCAATGATTCTTTACTGCCCACAGCAAATATCTTTTCAAGTAATAATAGTTAAAACTATACAGTATTTACTATGTGCAGGCAATATTCCAAGTTAAATATATATATGACACACATTTAATTCATAACAACTTTGGGAAGTGGTATTATTTTTACCCTTATCTGATACATGAGGAAACTGAGGCAGTAGAAAGATTAAATCACTTGCCCAAGTTACAGTTAACAAGATGTAGAACCAGGATTTGAATCACACAATTTGGCTCTAAAGTCCACACTCTTACACATGAATGAATTTTCTGGTATCTGGAAAACCTAAACAACACATGAAAGCACATATAAACAAAGTAAGTAAGGGAGAGATACGGCATGTGAAGGCCTATGCTCTAAGCTAATTGATATACTGCTAATTAACGAAGACTTACATTTTTTGGCTTGCTATGGGCCTGACAAAGAATACTCTGAAGATCTCAATGCAAAGCCCATCTTATGTCAGTTATAGAAAAGTTACATAAAATATTGGTTTAAGTATCTTACCTAGAGTTAACATTCCCCTAAGAAATATCATATGCAGGTGAAGAGTAGTTGGAATAACCAACCCAACTGCAAAACAAATATTTGCTACATGAAAAACCAGATGATGTATCTCTCTCCAATTTTCACAAGCGGTCTCATTGGAAGGCACAGGTATGATGCTTTCTAATTCAGGTGTAAAACCTATGGCAGTTGATTCTCTCAATGGGCTGGACTCTGTATAATTCATTTTGAAAATTCCTGTAAAAACAAGTAAACAAAAGTAAAATCATAAAAATGGCAATTGTATCTTTTTACCTCCATAGGTATTATACCACAATTATTTCTGTGAATTAAATAGACTTCTCTAGTGCTTATGAATTAGACAGACCCAGATTCAAATCCCAACTCTGTCACATATTAAATGTATTCAGTTCCTTACCTGTTAAAGGATGATAATAATACCTCATATGCGTTATGATTAAATGAAATGATACATACTTACCATTATACTTAGCATAGTGCACAACTATTCCCTCATAGGCACATATATACATATACAGACTTGTAGGGAAGGGAGGAGTGAGGGAATTAGTCTTTAAGACAATCACCAATGTTCATAAACCATGGTAATTACAAAGTTATTTAGTCTAGTCTTCCACCAAATTCCCACTGGTGACTGAATCCAAACACAGGAAAAATAACTAGAAAACTAATTATTTGAATACTTAAAAAAATATGAATACCTTCACATCTATTTGAAGGCTTAGGATATTTAGAAGGCTCTATTTGTATACTGCCATTAAATCACTGTACCATACATAATACATTATCATATATGCAAATAATATATAGCCATATAAACATTTATATATACACAGAGAGATACAACATGAAACTTTTATTGTCTAATTTAAATCTCTACTTTATTTCCCATAATAATTCTAGTTGGTAGCATATCACAAATTAAAAAGTAGTAAACTTCCAGTTTACTTATACATATTAAAGTCCATAGCAACTACATTTTAAAAATATACATTTTACACATGCTTATATAAAACCATTTCCTATGGTACCCGTCTTCGGTCTCTGGTCCTTAAAAGAAACTCTATTATTAATTGCACAAATCTGGTCCTTGCCAAATACTATGTAGGTTTACAGAATATATGAATTATTCTGCTTCAGGAAAATTCCAAATGGGGACCCTAAATACATCTAAATTTAGAAATATGTATTTCTTTCAAAATAAGGTCATGCAATTAATCTTACCTTTCTGCTTGTTCTCAACATACTAAAGTAAAGGTTTTAGGTAGTAGAATAATTAATTGGTACAAAATGGGTATTTTGAAAGGATGTTAACAGACAAATGTGAAAGAATTCCACAGCTTAAAGCTGATAAAAAACAAACACACCAATTTACAAACTGTGAATGAAATGATCAAGTCAACTGAAGATCTTTTTACATAATGTTGAAATAGTTCGTAAATAGTAATAGTTGACTTAGATATTGATTTGCTACAAAAAGGGAAGAAACAAAAATTCACCTGTTTTCCAAATGTCTGAACTCAGCAAATATATAAGCCTATCAGGATGGGGGGGGGGAGATCATTATTTTAATAACTCCATTTATACAAAGTTTGCTTTTCAAGGCCAAACGAAAATGAATCTCATAACTTCTGCAGGAGAATGATATGACATGTCCTCTATCACTCATAACCTAACATCACCTACCCTAGCATTACATAGCTTAATAATAACTACCATTTCGACAGCACTGTAGAATGTACCTACACTCCCATTGTCCTGTTTGTCCTCTATGAGGCAGGGACAATATTTATCTATCTATGTACTCCCAAGGCCTAGCCTCTGTAGAGAAGGCCACTGAGGCAGGGAAGAAAGCCACTCTGAAGGAACCTCAACCTGACAAATACTTTTAGAAATCACTGTTCAGTCTCCCCACATCTCAGTAATAAAGCCAGGAGAGTGCCTAGCCTTCCTGAGGTTGACTCAGGTTCTATACCACAAGCCACCAGGGAGCCACATAAGCCAGGGAAAGCCATTTCTGCTCCTCGGGTCTGTTTCTTCCTTGGAATAGGGAAAATTTGAATAGCCTATGGTTCTAACACACATTTACATAATCAGTCAATCAATACATATTCCCCTCGAGTTCACCCAATTTCACCTATGTTGCCTATTAATCCACTATAATTCAATATCAGGCTTTTATAAGTTCTTAAAGTGACATTAAAAGTACCAATTTCTGGTCCAAGAAAAATGACAGGAAAACTACAATTATGACCCAAGAACCAAAAAATATTAGCAATTTTTAGAAGGCAGGGTCATCCTAAGCATGTTTTGATGCACCACACCTTATTAAAGAAATATGTATATACAGAGATACATGCAAAGGCATACAGATGTATCTATATATCTATATAATTGTCTATTGTGAAATGTCAGTTACCTATTGTTGAAAATATTGATCAGATCAGTTTACGTTGATTACCACTTAATCGTTTAGTGGCTTACACTGAACAATTCTTATACAGAGAATAGGCGGAAAGAGAAAGGTTAGACTGCTAAATTGGTAAACTTTTCTGATTAATTTTGACTAAATCAAGAGAAATTATCTTTCCCTCATCAGATCACCAAAGTTGAAGTCCTTAAGTTACCCATACTTGTAAAGTTCCGTTTATCGGTTTTCAAATAGGTGATTGTAGGGCTAAATAGTTAAATGCTGAAACTAACATTAAACCTTTACCAAACTAAAAAACGGAAAAAGGTAACTGCAACGAGCAAGTCTTGCTAGTCGAGTTAATTCATTCTGTAATTCTAACTGAATCTTCACACATCTTCCGAATGGCAAATGGCATTACATTGCTAAGTCTTTTCGCACTTATTCATGCTTCAAAGCAGGCAGTTTCTGGGACTTGTCTGGCCAACAACCCGTTCCCAAAGGCTCGGGGAAGGAGGCTGCGGGTGGGTGGCGTGGACCTCGGGTCACCAGCCATCGGCGCTCTCCCGGGGCCCTCTGACCTCGCTCCTTAAAGGAGGGTCCGCCGCAACGGTCCTCCTCGG